TGAGATTTATTTCCTCAAAATCTTCCATCATCTTTTTGAACTGGTCAAAAAGATTTTCAGAAGTTGGTATGCTTTCATAAGAAGATGAGCAGGAGGTTTGTGAGGTTACCTCTTGATCAGCATCATCTTTGGCCATTAGGCAGAGAGTGTCATCTTCTGACATAGTCCACCTATCCTCATGGTTGGACTTTTCAACTCTGCGCTCCATGCAAACGAGGGCTTCTTCATCCGAGCTTGAGCTGGATGACTCATCACTCTCAGCAGCAACCATTGCCTTCTTTTTCTTCTCGTTTCTTTCTCTTTCTCCGTACTTCTCAACCTTTGGGTACGGGCATGCTGACTTCCAATGGCCAGGCTTCCTGCAGTTATAACACAAATAAGATTCAGGAGGGGAGTCACTTACTTGTGGCTTTCCCTTGGTTGGCCTTCTTGGGCATGTCCCTTCACTTGATGGGACTCTTGGAGTTGTCATCAATGCCGTGGGGAAGGGAGTGACTTGTTCTTCCTTCTTCTTCTTCAGCTCGTGCTCATAGGTTTTGAGCTCGTCAAGGAGACCTTGGACAGTGTAGTTCTCCAGGTTTCTTCCTTCTTCCATGGCTGTGGCTTTGGTATACCACTCAGTTGGAAGTGATCTCAGCAACCTTACATTCTTTTCTTTGGGAGAAAGAACGTTGTTAAGTGATGCAAGATCATTCAATATCTTGTGGAATCTTTCATCCAACATATCAAATGATTCTCCGGGAAGCATTTTGAAGCTTTTAAACTTCTCAAGCAAGACTTCTATCTTCTGCTTTCTCAGGTCCTCTGATCCCTCACATAGCTTCCCAAGACCTTGCCAAATCTCCATGGCAGTCTTGAGATGCTTAATTTTGGAGAAGGTGATGGGATCAAGTGTCTTGAAGATGGCTGCTTTGGCGACGTTGTCCAGATTGTGCTTTTTGCAATCTCTATCATCCCATTTTTCTTTGGGCTTTGGAATGTACTGGACTACATCTGGAGTGGCT